CAGAGGAGGGTCTGTGAGGAACACACATCACCCTATCATCACAGCATTTACTGTCTTACTGTCATTTATTGTTTTTTGTTTAGCAGGATGAGATTTAACATCTGGCCAGTTTCCATATTTTCTTTTATTGTGTGATGAATGCAATATATTGGTATGTCAGAGTCCTCTCTCTTACTCCAGTCATAGATCATGGGTTTGGTGAAGCCAGCGTGCTCCACCATACAGGAGATCTTCTCTCCAGTTTTGGGAGTGTACTCCAGCTGAGTGTGAATCTGGTGGTACCAGTCTCCGTTAGGCATCTTGTCAGTGGAGGTCACATCAGAAGTCACCACTACACCGTCCCTCAGCCAGGACACACTGATTTGCTCAGGGTAGAAGTCATACGCACTGCACATCAGCAGCGATGGATGTCTGCTGTCTCCCTGCTTCACTAAACTCAGCTTCACAACTGGAGCCACTGAACCAGGAGGAGCCACAATTACATCTTACAATAAATATTACCATTACACCATTTAAAATGTGCTTGATATTAGATAAATATTTTCCTTTAAAAATTATATAACTGTTTAAATGAAGAGTTCTGTGTGAGTCTTGTGTCACATACCTGCTTTATCATGGATAGCTGTTTTGAACAGTTCAGCATTAGGTTTACAGAATGTTTCAACTTCAGCCTTTAATTGCTGTATGATTGCTGGATCTTTGTTCCACATCTCTGCAGTTCTCACTCCAAACTCAGTAAACCCCACAAACTCCCCCACAGTGCTGTTGAACTGTACGTACAGATACTTATTGAAGTAATAGCCATCCAAGAACACCATGTCACTGAAATCACTGGAGCTGTAGATGCACTGTGGCCAACGATAGTTATAATATCCATTAGCTGAAAAACAATCAAACAAAAACACAAGCACTTGAACACATCAGCCAGTTGTTGTTATTAATGGGATGTCCTTTCTAAATCAACATGTCACGTTCATATTATTAAAATATATGTACCTCTACTTTACTACATTGGAGGGTCCACTAACAGAACCATCATAACTAACAGCGTTTAAGAAAAAGTTGCTGTTAAATCTTACCAACACTGTTAAATACCAAAAACACCAATATATCCTCACTAGCACTACTACTGTAATAATGCTCATTTCTTCAGTGTCAGTTAGTGTAGCCCATTTCTCTCACCTGCGCCGGTGAATACAGACAGCAGGAGAATGTGATGGAGACTCCAGAGCTTTGGCACGGACATGTTCACTCGCTCTATCACAACTGAGAGCAGACAGTACTCTGTTCATGATCAAGAGATGAGGGTCTAAAACAACTGTCCAATCAGACACTGTTTGCTTATGTGTCACGTGTTGCTAAGTAATATCCTGCTTTCATTTTAAAATCTCACTTCAAAAAATGTAAATAATGGTTAGATTAAACACAATTACTTTTTAATTTACATTCCTGAAAAAACCTGCAAGCTTCCAAAAACCTCTCCAATTTTAGAGACAAACACTTTTCTATTTTTTTTTTTAATCCACGATAACACTTCATAATAACTATCATTATTAAATCATTAGAATGTGACCAGGAAAGGGTCCTAGAGGAACATTTAGTTGTCTGGGAACCGCACTGGTAACTAGTTCCTGTAACTGAGTTTCTATTACTACCACTTCCCTTTTAGACACACAATCGTGAACTTCCCTAAGCACTTACTCTCAGGTGAATCCTGCTGCCATTCTGAAGTGTGTTACTCTTCGTGAAGTGGACGAGGGAAGTTTATATGGACAGAGCCTCGACCCCTCGATCTTGACTGAGAAAGTGAGTGTTTCATATGCACACTGCAGGCTGATCCATAGACCACAATGCAACATGATTATGACGTCACCGCAGATTGTGTTTAATTTACCCCCAACCCAAACAACTCTATAATACATTAATTATTTTCTTAAATATTTAAAACAGCCCAGACATACCTATTAGGGATGGTAATATTCACCAAATCACATCGGTGCATAAAAGTTAACGATGCAATGCATCAATTTATAAAAGTGTGCATCGGATACAAGTCAGCATTTGTATGGCGATGCATTGTTTTTAACATTTGCATCGGTAAAAACTAGTTTATTTATATGTAATTATTATACAGTATTTTCTACGTAGATTGATTTCTTCTCTCGAAGCTGTTTCTCAAGCACGTTCTCTCATCCTCGCTGCTGCTGCGTGAATATGATGCATCTCAACACTACAGAGACCGAGGCGTGTCCTGAGAGTCACATAGATCATATATTAACATGGCAGAGGTAGAGCTGCATCTTCCACCAAATAACTGCAAATCCAGAGTTTGGAATAACTTTGGGTTTAATAAGAGAGATGGAGATTTTGATAAAACTCATGCAATTTGTAAAATATGTCATGCTGCTATAAAATATACATGCAGTACGACTAACAACACACTTGAAGCGCAGACACATTGTCAGTGCAGATAATGTGGAATCGCATAGCATCATAATTTTTCCATTGATTGCATTGCATTGAATCACACTGTATCAAATCAATATATGGTAAAATAATGGTCTCCTTAAAAAAACAATTCGTATGCCCTGAGAACAGTGACTTTAACAATGTCATAATCAAGACTTCGCTCAATTGGCAATGCCGTGCCAATTTCTTGAGCTTTGCCTGTCAGACTGCATTGTAGGAACAATGCCCACATGTCCTTCGACCATCTACGCTTACCTGTTACCCGCTTAAAAGCAACAAAAGGGCCTTTCGCACCGCAGGAACCTTTTCATAGTACCAGAACTAATTGTGGAACTACCCACTTTAACGCTGCGCACAAATGACGACGCTGTCGACCGGCTTACGTCACTTCTTAGTACACACTGTCCGTGCGAATGCAACCCTTTAAATTGTACTGGGAAATAGTTCGCGCAAAATCGTCCCAGTACTTTAGTACTGTACATTTAGTTCTGGAACTAAAGCGGTGCGAAAGGCCCTAAAGTAAGCATCGACCTCAGACTCACAAAAAGGAGGTACGAGTTTGATATACTTACTAACGTCAAACTCAAGGTTTTCCTGATCAACACTTGCATTAACAGGCGGAATAGGAGAGGCAGTGGGAACAGAAGGAGGCCTGGAGCGTGGGACAGGAACAGGTTTCCTGCCCATCTCCCCAGCTTGCAAATCTAGACGCGCGGTTTAATTATTTTAAACGAATGGCCAGGACCGGATCATAATTGTTATTCTCAACAATATCTGTATCAGGAAGAATGTCCTCAGTCACGGCCTCTGCTGAAACTACAGGACGTTCTCCATCCTCAAGAGTCAAACTCCATTTCTATCACCACAGAGACCTTCCTCCCCACACAAAAAGCCAAAACACGCGATTAGAGAGAAAAGAGAAAAATGCTACTCACCGCAACAACTAAATTTGAAAAAAGTATGGGACGAGCCCCCACTTGTTACGTTCCCCCGAGCGTCCAGGGGTCAGAAGGGGAAGTAACAAAGAGAAGAAAAAAAAAAAAGTATAGAGGAAACGAAAAGCGAGAACACACTTCAATCCTCTGGCCCAGAATGAAGATGACACCAGTTGATATATATAAACAGAAATAATTTTATTTAAAAGACGGAAAAGAACAATGGGAGCAAAGGCTCAGGGGAAAGCAAGGCCTAAAATAACAAACAAAATAGTTCACTAACTAATTTAAGAAGGAGCTCTAACTAACCGTAAAGAAAAGAAAAGAAATAAACAGCCAAATTCCCTCACCTCCCTTGCTGTACAAAAACAGAGGCAAAAAGCAGTATAAAAAGAAAAAGGCACTCTCCCCCTACAGCATCCCTCTTAACACACAGGCTAGTATTTAAAATCACTCGAGACAAAAGAGCCACAAGACCTTTTACTCAATCTCAACCTGGAACAATATCCATTAACTGTGCATGCTGAAACTCAATTAGCCACTGCTAATACACAACCATTGTCTCTGCATGAAAAACAAGCACAAAGTTCAGTCTGAAGCAGGGGAGAAGTGTGTCTCCTCGCAAACTCAGTATCCTCTTGGGCACGCTCTCACAAACGAGCTACAGGTGATGGTGATTTGCCCTGAGGAGCAGCAGAGAGAGACAGAGCAAAAACAAACATGCCCACACCTTTGTTAACAACAATCAAACAAATTCAAGAACAATAATGGTATTACAAATAAATATACGTCCCTATGGGGCTCAGCTAGAATATTTTAAAGTCTGTATGAACCGGAAGCTGCTGCCGACTTTATTTCAGTATGGTGATGTATGGAAACGGAATATCAAGTAGAGAGCGGGTTTTATTTTTGCCCTCCTCCTCTCATCTTTTACTCGCAGAGCAGAAGCAAATAATCAGATTTTGATTAAAGATTACCAAGACAATTTTTTCAGTGGATTAACTTGCACAAATTAATTGTTTACTTTAAGACTAGCAATGCGCGAACAAAAGGAATATTGTACATTTTGATTTTATGCAGACATTAAACTTACGTGTGAAAGGGTTAATGTGCATTTGAATGCTTACAAATGTCATGAAGTGCTTAAAACTACTAACATTTGTAAATGTAAAAAAGTGCATTAGATGATATGTAAATCAATTTAATCAGATTAAACAACCAGTTAAATATAATATCTAAGCATTCAAATGCACATGAATAAATAAGCTGTTAATCAGTGTATAACATCTGATAACATAATTTGTAGGTTTTTCTAAAGTGACTGCTTTATATCACTGTAAAATACCCTTCTGCATGTCCCTCCCTTCGCAGTCCCTGCACGCTTTATTTATAACAGCTTTCTATTAATAAAACTTTATAAAAGTGAAAGTTTCTGAAACATGTTTAATTTTTATTGGCATAATTTTAAGTACCAAAAATTTAACATTTCAGTTCATGACAAAATCACCTACATTTAGCATGAAGGTAGCAAAAGTGTCTTATTTTTATTATTAAGTAAGATTCCGATTTCTTTAGATTACTTCTGATGAACTGCACATGTACTGTCTTCAGAATCCTGGAGAAACTGTCTTTGATTGGGTCCACTGCATTAAATGTTTGATGTTTTTGGCCATGTCTGGCATGTCGGTCGTAGTTGCTTTAATGAGGAAGAAGAGTCCAGTAGTGACTCCCAGCAGCCCCAGAGTCAATCCCACTCCACAGAAGAGCGCCGGACCCAGGCTGGGCAGGACAGCAGCCGCCTCCGGGATGCCTGGGGATTAGAAGTATATGTTATATGAGCAATATCACTCTCGTACTCGAGCGATATCGGTATCCGGAGAGCCGGTATCGCTCGAGTACGAGAGTGATATTGCGTTTATACAACAGTTCGATGGAACATGTGTGTAATTAAACAAGAAACAACGGAGTGCCTAATAAAACCCTCTTTTGTGCAGAATGCCTTCCTTCCGCCACGGATTCAAAGCTCAAGTTGACAGTTAAACAGCCTTCCTTCCGCCACGAATTCAAAGCTCAAGTTGACAGTTAAACATGCGTCACTTTTAGAATTCGTATCAAGGGCATGTGCTGCTTCAGTTAGGTTATTAGTGAGAAATAATGAGGTTATAAGAGAGAAACAATGCGGCAAGATGTGCATCCAAATGAGAGAGCGAGAGACAGCGAAGCTAGACGTTTCTTCTTATATTAACTAACATACTCTACGATTAGCTCAGTGAATAATTAAAAAAAAACATAGACCCGGCTAGAACAAGCGGAGTGATACAAAATTGTGAAAGGGCGTTCCTGTAGCGATACCAGTACAATATCTCACAGTTCTCAACCAATCAGATTTGAGAACCAGAATCAACTGTTGTATAAATTAATTCAGTGTATGAATGTGAATGTGAGAACAGCTGCTGAGCAGATGCACTTTCACTCTAACAATCCTCTCAGCGCATGCTATTTCATTTGTCACAGAATCAATGCTGCTGTTTTTAAATCAACTCATTTGATTCTCTTTGTAAACGGCTCTTACTCCATATTCTGGTCTGCGGTTGGCCCAGGAGCGCTCGGTGATTCACTGTGCAGCTGTAAACGTCTCCATCTTCAGGAGTGATCTTCAGGGAGGAGAACACGAGGAAGGATCCGTCGCTCCTCGTCCGGTACTGACTCAGACTCACGTCTTCTGTCACAATCACATTGTTCTTAGCCCATGAGACGCTGACAGGTGGAGGAAAGAAGCCTGTCACGTGACAGATGAGTGTGTTTTCAACAGCCAGCTGCACATCGTTCCTCGAATAGATGAACGTCTCAGGAGGGTCTGTGAATACACATAACTGTGTTGAACTCTGCAGCAGTACATCTGACCTCATTCAAATGAAATGCGTGCTTAAGAACACTGATATCATCATACATGTTTAATACAATTGCAAGCCAAAACTCATGGTTAACCAAAATATTGAAAACACTGCATGCATAATGTTGTATTACAAATTTATAAAATCTTAAATCTAGGTTCCAATGTAATAGAATATATACTGAAAAAGTTATGTAAAGGATGACCTTTCTAAGGAGATCAAATCAAGAAGCCCAGGTGTCTGAGATAATGACCTTTTGTCTTTATCCTCTTCCTGACCATCTGGCTTTTTAAGCTCAAAGCACAGCTGTACCTTTGTCTCTGTGATAATGCGAAAGTATGGCGATACTGTCAGACTGATTGGATCAGCACCTATGCATTGAATGACACTGTTATACTGATGAGATCAAGGCTGGGAAAATGCCTGTGTCGGGCTGATTCCTGTACTTCATTTGCCTGGGTAACATCACGAACACTCTCGCTTCACACAAGATAACGATCTTACAGAACAGAGTGGCCTTGGATTACATTCTTGCAAAGCAAGGGGGAGCATGCACCATTATCGGACCTGAGTGCTGCACCGGGTTCACGGACCCTAGCTGCATGTTTTTTTCTGTGTCAACATGCCGTTCGTCACTACAGACGATCAACACAGAGCAAGTGCAATGTGCCTGTAACGATCACAGGTTACAAGAATTAACTTTTAAGTGTCTAAATTTGTATTTTGTGAGAGTTATTAGAACTCTCAAAGGGGGAACTGTTGTATTACAAATGTATAAAATGTTAAATCTAGGTTCCAATGTAATAGAATATATACTGAAAAAGTTATGTACCTTGTGTTTTACATTTTGAGGTAAAAAAAGGATGACCTTTCTAAGGAGATCAAATCAAGAAGCCCAGGTGTCTGAGATAATGACCTTTTGTCTTTATCCGCTTCCTGACCATCTGGCTTTTTAAGCTCAAAGCACAGCTGTACCTTTGTCTCTGTGATAATGCGAAAGTATAGCGATACTGTCAGACTGATTGGATCAGCACCTATGCATTGAATGACACTGTTATACTGATGAGATCAAGGTTGGGAAAATGCCTGTGTCGGGCTGATTCCTGTACTTCATTTGCATGCTATGGGTTAGATTGTCTCCACCTCTACGGAATGTATCCCGCCCCCTTAAAATGTATATAAACTACAATGTATCACTACGTTAGTCAGACTTGGATTACTGCAGCGACGCTCGAGTCCTCAATAAAGAGTGACTTCTGTATGAAACATATCCCAACGTCTCCTGGTCTCTGCTTCGACGAGAAAAAAGTTTCCAACAATAACATGTAGCTCATTTACTTTCTGTTAAAGAAATGCATTACTGTAAAACTGTACTTCACAGTGCAAATTCATGTCATACCCATTTCCTCTGGTGGACTCTCGTAAGCTTTAATGAGTACAGCCATGTTTTGTTTGCATACTTCTTGCTCTGCAACACTTTCTTCATAATATCCTGGAAAGCTCATAGGATCTGCGAAATCAGGTAATGTAACTACTCCTGTCTTCTTATTAAAGTCAGCATGCCACGCCTCCTCTCCGTTAGATCCAGTCATAGACTCTTTCTCTGTTTCAGAACATCCAGTGATTGAGAAATCCTTATGCTCTACTGAAACGGAAGAAGCATCAACAGATAAATGAGAAACTCACAGAGTCCCAGACAAATTAACTGCATATCAGATATAACTAATGTGTTTTGGGAATTAACAGAATTTTTTTTTCTTTTGTCAATTATTTAAAGCACCAGCCATTTCTAAATGTGAAGATGTTCTATACAGGTGTTAACACCCAATATGCTAAATGACCACTTATAGTCAACCACTGACCAGTCAAACAGCTGATGACTAGTTAACTACCAAACCTAACATGGTGATCGAAGTAAATATACAACAGGGTTACACTTTATTTTAAGGTGTCCTTGTTACAGTGTAATTATACAATTAAGTACTGAGTAATAATAATAAACTACATGCACTTACTATATGGTTAAGATTAGTGTTATGATTAGGGTTACCTGCATGTAATTATGCTTTTTCTTTAATTATTATAATCGTAAATACATGTAACAAGGACACTTTAAAATAAAGTGTTGCCAAAAAGTGCATTTAGAAATCTTTTGTAACAATGTACACCACCATTCAAAAGTTTGGGGTCACTATTTACTATTTTCTTTTTTAAATAAATTTATACTTTTTTATTCAGCAAGAATGAGTTGGATTAATAAAAAGTGATAGTAAAGATTTGCACAGTTAGGAAAGATTTCTATTTTGAATAAATGCTTTTAGACTTAGAAAGTACCACAGGTTTCATTAAAATATTAAGCAGCAATCAACATCAATAAACATCAATAAATCAGCATATCCAGCTCTTTCTTCCCATAAGAGCGAGCGCAGACATTTGTAAATGTAATGTGTCTTGCTTCCGGTGTCATCCGTGTCCCGCTATTTTTACAAAACCACTCATTTTGCTGCTTGATATTGAGAATTGCTGTGTCTTACCATATTATTTTAATGTATTGTCTTAATTATGAAGTGCAAGAGTTTTACTGCACGTGGTTATTGTTCTCGTTAATTCCCAACAGCGGCTACTGAACCTCTCTCGCACATAGGCTTACTTCTGCATTGAAGAATAAGGTGGATCAGAATGATTTCTGAAGATCATGTGACACTGAAGACTGGAGTAATGATTTATTACTAATTGTTTCTGTCTGCAATAGCCCTACTGTGCTGTAACAAGGTGTGGTAAATGGGCAATTCTGGTAACGCTGCCCTCTCATTCATTGATCTGCTAACCGTTATGCTCATGTGTCCTCTGATAATAATAGCTTTCTAGGATTAAACATTATTTGGATAATTGGTAAAAAACATAAAAAAAATCTCTTAATAGCCCTACTGTGTGTTAGACCTACCCGAAAAACTAAAAAGCAATTTATTTCATTTGTAGGCCTATCGTGATTTTTTTTATTTGTGCTATCATTAGTAATTAATTTATTTGTTCTTATTTTATTATTAACTGCTTAGCCTCCTTGTCATTTTTTATTCAATTCAAAGTTTTAAATCAAGCTATCTCGTGCTACTGCAACAAAATTACCCAGCTGTAAAATCAAAAATACACTGAGTGAGCAAAACTTTGTTTAATTACCATTATAACTAGCTATCTCACAATGTTTACATATGAATAAAAGCCTAC